TTGGATTCAGCCTTCGTAATAGCCTTTGGGGAGCACCCTGAGAATGGGTGAGAATTAATTGCCTTGTCTGGGGTCATAGACCTAGGTAGGTAGCATATTGGGGTACACAATAAGCTCTTGAAGCTGTACCTTGCTTCCTGCTGACATTATAGCATGGCTGTCAGCCATGTTCTAACCTTTCTGTATATGATTTCAAACTTGATCTCCATTTATATTGTTGTTAATTCATTTCTGACCCACATATGTGCTGCAGAAATAAGAAAAGTGGGTAGGGATCTAAGGGGGAAAAAGACGGAGAACAACTTGGTTTGTGTGCTTTGTCCACACTACAGATAAGAAAAGATACAGTATGATTTTTTATTATCTTGGAGCTTGGGGCCCTGATTGGTGAGTTTTTAGAAGTGGGAAGCAACCTGGACACTGCATATGAAAATTTCTGTGCTCATTTTTGGGGGTACAGCAGCCAGTGCTCTGAACTGCTGAGGCATTTCTCCAGCCCATTGGTTAACAATCTTAAAGACGGACTACTGCTTTAAAAATTGCATCCTACAAAACTACTGTTGGTCATGGCCAGACTTAGCTCTGCCAATACCCCAGCATCAAACTAGATATATAGGTAAAAATGATTTTGACTTTGGGATTGTCCTTCGGCCCCTTCCTTCTGGGCACACAGGTGGGCAGAGCCACATTATGTTTCCTTCTGGTCCTTGAGAGGTGTTGAATTGTAAAAGAGCCTGAACCTTGTCATATTTTAATAGAAGCTATATCAGTAATACACACAAAATTCCTTACCTTAAAAATAAATAGTTCCTTTGTTTAAAACATACTTCTGCCTGTAGATGATTGTGGATAGAACTGAATAATGGAAATTGCTTTGAACGTTCCTTGGGATCCCGTAGGTCTCAAAGTGTAGCTTACTTAGTATTTGATTGCATCTTTGGCCCAAGCTGGTTATTTGGTGTAAGTTACAGTTGCTTAAGCTGGCTGTGTGATGAGTAATACATACTTGGTTTTGTTGTTGTGTGGAAATGTGGAGACTGTTGGTGCTTGCAAGTCATTGGTAGTACCAAAGCAGCTCTGCTTTGTCCTCTTCTAGCCAGCTTGCCATAACTCCTATAGCAGTACCTAACAGATGGAAAGCACCTCAGTGTTCAACCAGGGTGTGACAAAGTGCTTTGCATAAATGCAAATCCTTGTGATTATTTTATAAACCAGAGAATTGGCCAAGCTTTACGATTTTGTAGTTTGCTGCCTTGGCTCCCATTTTTTGCATTGGTAGACTATAAGGTATAGATTGTTGGTACATTTTAGGATTGACAGTAACAAAATCAGGTTAGAAATTAACTCTACTTTTAGGTCCCTTTATGAACCTAGTTGGTCACAGCTTTTCTTCCCTAATATGATGATTTTTTTTATGTAGAACAGGTCAGAGAGGCCAAAGTGACTCCCATTACACTTGTTAAAGTTACATAGCAGTTCAGCATCAAATGTATTGAACAATTATTAAGGTCATTTTTAAGAAAAGACAACATAGCAAGATTTCATTTATTTAAGGCAAGTAGAACAGATTTTGTTAAGACGCCATGAGTAGTAGCCACACCTTTAATCCTACCTTGGGACCAAGGTGGCCTAGTCTGCATTTTGAGCTCCAGGAGAGCCAGGGCTATGTAGTAAGACCCTTGTCTAAATTAAAAGAAGTGGGGGAAAAAATAAGATTTAGTTATTTTTAATTAATTAAAAATTAACCCCAAGGTTTTGCAGTAGGTTCAAAGTAGATAGTAATAAAATTTTCTTCAGTATCCATCACAAAACAGGCATTCAGTAAACCTGGCTCCCTTCCTTCTGTTAGCTAGACAGGACAGCTCCTTAAGTGTTATTCTTTTGACTCGGCTGTTGGGTGGCTGGCCAAACAGCAACATGAGGCATGTTGCAAACAAATTGTATGTCCTTCTGTTGTGGAATATTATTTTAAGGTGTGGTACATTTGTTTATGCGGTGGAACAATTGTTTTAATGATGCAAAGATGTGTTATGTTCTTTTTGTTGCATTCCTTTAACTCTGTGAAGCTGTGATTCTTTGCCTAAAACACCTGATGGTCTAATAAAGAGCAGAATGGCCAATAGCGAGGCAGGAGAAAGGATGGGTGGGGCTGATGGGCAAAGAGAATAAATAGGAGAAATCTGGAAAGAAGGAGGAGGAACAAAGAGAAGGGGAGGAAGACATCAGGGTTCAGCCACCCAGACAGCTACGGAGTAACAGTGAAAGTAAGGTATACATAGCAGAGAAAGGTAAAAGCCCAGAGGCCAAAGGTAGATGGGCTAATTTAAGTTAAAAGATGACTAGAAACAAGCCAAGCTAAGGCTGGGAATTTATAAGAAAGAATAAGCCTCCATGTCATGATTTGGGGGTGGTCCCCCCCCAAAGAGCAAAGAGTTAAAAGCAAAGAATAAAAACCCAACATTTTAGTGTACCAATGTGGCGGGGGGGGCTATGCTTCCATGTAGGGCCTGAAAAATCTTAAAAAAAAAAAAATATATGGCTCCTTTAAGATTTTCTGCTGGACAGTGAGCCCCTGAGCAGCCAGTACAGTGCCTGCCACAGTGCAGAGCACTGGCATTCCATAGCTGGGGAGGTTAAATGCAGTTCCTGGTCATGCGCCTTTGACCAGGCTGCAAGCTTTAGGCTTGGCTCTCATGAATCTAGAAGTGGGTAGAGGCAGCTGAGTGAGCCACAGAGGATCCAGATGTGACTTAACAGGCTAAAGTTTGCTCATACAGTCAAAACAAGGCTGAAAGATACACTTAGTGAAAGAGTCTAAATGGGGGACTGGAGAGATGGCCTGCTCTTCCAAGGTCTTGAGTTCAATTCCCAGCAACTACATGGTGGCTCACAACCATCTGTAATGAGATCTGGCACGCTCCTCTGGCCTGCAGGCAGACATGCAGGCTGAACCCTGTACACATAATAAATAAATCTTTAAAAAAAAAAAAAAAAAATCCAGATGGAAAAAAAGCTTTAAACAGGTGTCCTAGTGTGTTTTACAACGTGCATAGGCTTGCCTAAGAATGAAAGAAAATGGGCATAAGCAGTTATAGAAATAAATAGTATTGTGTTGATTTTGAATGTTTTGAATGCTGACAAACAGCAGCTGCTTAGAGACATGAGAATGAAAGAGGGACTGTTGAAATAAACCAGTGCGTGTGTGTGTGTGTGTGTGTGTGTGCGCACACACACACACACACACACACACACACACACACACACACATTTAGGAATGCCTTAACTTTTAAAATAGTTTAAAAAATGTATTTGTCAAATGAAAGTTAAGTTAAAAATGCTTTGGAGAAGAGGTTTTGCTTTTGTTTCCACGGGAAACAAGAGGCTATAGATTTGTTTCAGGTTAATATGGATGGATTTGAGCAAGGGAGACCTACAGGTGTTATCTATCAACAGAGGTCTTCTCAGGACTTGGTCATTTGTAAGGAGTAAGGAGTAAGGTTTTTCCGCCCGCCCCTGGTCTGGTCCTGCTGCCATGCCGCCAGCCCCACATAACACACCGAGACTCTGTATTTGATATAATGCTGTTGGCATTTACTTGTTTCTTATCAGCTAGCTCTGTCTTAAGTATTAACCCATTTCTATGTATTTCCACGTGGTTTCACCTACTGGGGAGTGGGGCAGGCATCTCGTCTCCCCAGTCTCTCCATCTTGACTCCTCCTTTCTGCTTCCTTCTTTCCTCCTTGTCTCCTAGTCCCTCCTATCTTCCTTTCCTATTGACCAACAGTGCTTTATTCATTAACCAGTATGAGAAACATATATACAGAATGGCATCTCCCATCAGTCATTAGCTCAGATTTTCACAGGGACCCTAAAGATACTTGGTTCACAGACAGCAGGAAGCCGTTTGTAGAACATGACACCTACATTCTCAAGAGGAGGTGTGGGTTTGGGGGGCTTTTGATTATTTGGTGGGTCATGAATGTTTGTTATAATTTAGGGTAACATAGAAATATAGATAAGAAGACAACTATTAATCTCAGATATTTTGCTTTGGCATATTGATACAAGTTTAAAGTTAACTTTGTTACACTATATATGTTTCTACTTTTGTTTGGGGTATTGTGCTTATACAGCTCATTTAAAAATGCAATGTATAAATAAATAAACTTGAGTTCACATTAGGTATGTTTCCAAGGTTAAATAGGTATATTTCAGATAGAATGATTTTTAAACACTTCAAAGACCTGTGGAATATGGCATTTAAAATGCTTTGTTAACTTAGGGTTTTTCACCCTTCTGATTTTTTTGTAATGGATGGTTTTAGTTTTCTTAGAACCACATCGACCTAGTGGTTACTAATTCTCAGAATTTTGGCTTCTCAGCAACTGACACATGAAAAATCACTCAGTTGTAGAGTGGGTCTAGTGAGCTGTGCAACAAATGTCAGGATGCTTCAGCTTTATCCTGTAGACCTGAAGGCACTGTATTTACAGTTCATTTATAACTGCTGAAGCCCAGGACAGTTTTCTTCTGTGATTATGCCAGTTGGCTGCTTTATTTCCATGCTCTACAGTGCTTGTTTTGCCACCTTTGTGGGTTCTCTGTCACATGTAGCAGCTGATCCTGGAGAAAACTGCCTGCATGAGTCCCTTGAGGGTTCCATGGCCTCTTGTATCATTAGACTGATGTCAGTAGTCCTGCAGCATCCAGCATGGCAGACATCATGCAGTACTAGGTATTTATTCATTAAATATGCTATAGTAAGCTCTGATGATATCTTGGTAAATTTAACAGATGGGGCTCTTGGCTGATAAAATTTACATTCTGACTGAAAATGGGAACTCACACAGCTTATAAAATAATACTAATCCCAAACCGTTTGAGGACTATAACACAGCATGGTGTATGGAGTTTGATTTTAAATTTCATATGTTGTGAGAAACACATGGCCTAAGAAGGAAATGGTGGTATAACTTTTCCCATTTTCTTTCTCTTGTAGATAAGATGTTCCAAGTTCCTTGTAGCTCCCTTCGGAAGAAAATCAGGAGTGCTTCGAGCTCTTGCCATGAGAACAGCCCTGTCTGACTTTCACGTTGGTGCTGCAGTACTGGAAGACTCGCACACCAGCTCTGGGAGTTTCTCGTTTCCACTGGAGTGGTTTGTTCTCTGTGAATGGAGAAAGATTTGAGTCTTAATTGCCCTGTTTTCACAGTTTTCTCTATAGCCGAAACTCTATAGTTGGAACTACTTCCCAATGAGCTACCCAGCCAGTCCTTGTCAGGAGCTGGCTGAGAACTGTGCAGTACATGCCCCAGGAATGGCACAGGAAGAGAGCCATCGGAGTCAGGCGCCACCGGCCTTCTACCATGGTGCCAGCCAGGAGCTCGACCTGTCCACCAAAGTGTACAAAAGGGAGTCTGGAAGCCCTTATTCTGTGCTAGTGGACACCAAGATGAGCAAACCACATCTCCACGAGACCGAGGAACAGCCATATTTCAGGGAGACAAGGGCGGTGTCTGATGTGCACACTGTCAAGGAAGACCGGGGGAATTCTGATGACACGGAAGAAGAGGAGGAAGTCTCTTACAAAAGGGAGCAGATCATAGTGGAGGTAAACCTTAATAATCAAACATTAAATGTATCTAAAGGGGAAAAGGGTGTCTCTTCTCAGTCCAAAGAGACTCCTGTTCTTAAGACAAGCAGCGAGGAAGGGGAGGAAGAGAGTGAGGAGGAGGAGGCCACAGACGACAGCAATGACTACGGAGAGAACGAACCGCAGAAGAAAAAGGAGAAGCGAGTGGAGAAAGCCAGGGTTACACAAAGGCGAACTCGAAGAGCTGCCTCTGCTGCCGCAGCTGCCACTTCCCCTATACCTCGCACAACCCGGGGCCGTAGGAAGAGTGCAGAGCTACCTAAGCGGAAGAAGCGGGCCACCAAGGAGCCCAAAGCTCCAGTCCAGAAAGCTAAGTGTGAAGACAAAGAGACCCTGACCTGTGAGAAATGTCCCAGGGTCTTCAATACTCGCTGGTACCTGGAGAAGCACATGAACGTAACTCACAGGCGCATGCAGATCTGTGATAAATGTGGCAAGAAGTTTGTCCTGGAAAGTGAGCTGTCCCTTCACCAGCAAACAGATTGTGAAAAAAACATTCAGGTAGGTTTCACCACCAAGAGGGCAAACTTTCCAGGATAGAACCTGGCTGTTCAGAGTCATCTGGTGTCTGCCCAAGACAATAAACACAATAGAGGCTGAAGGGACAGATTTCACCAATTTATCGTTTTTAGACGCTGCTGCTTGGGTCTTTTCAAAACCAAAGCTTAATCCTGTATTTCAAAAGCATTACACTTAACTGACGCTGGACTAGAGGGAACCCAGGTACACTGGAAGGGGGATCTGTTATAGATGATTGACTGAGATGTAAAGTCAGCGCCGACTTTGCACTGAGAGTCACTGTTGTAGGACCTGTGAGATAATTCGTTCTGGCATCTTCTGTCAAGGTGGCAGATGTTGAGTGAAGGTCAGGAGTAGAGGAAGGTTCCTTTCTATTTAAAGGATGCCAGAGTCTAGTGCAGCTGCTGGGGACAGAAACCATAATGACTCAGACCTGTGGAAATGGAAGATCTCCAGCAGTGAGTTTCCTTTCACCCGTGGAGAGATGGCAACACTAAATGTGTCAAGAGGCGAGCCCATGGGAATATGCAAACTTTAAACAGAGGCGAGCTGTTTGAAAATGTTGCTTTTATCTGACAGTAGGTTACGTAATGTTGCTGTACAGTATTAATGTGACAAAACAAGGTATTCAAACCAGGCTGGTATCTTGGAAAGACTGTATTATGACAGGTTAAAAGGTATTGAATGCATTGCAGCTATACTGGTTTGTGCACACGTTTATATATAAATGTATATTCATATGAGGTAAGTCTGTTATGTTTCCATATGTATAGTAATCTACCATTGTTTTACTTTTGGTTTGGGAACTGCTAATAGTGACTACCTGTAATTTTCTCTTTTTGACAATTGTTTTTAAGTCAATGACAAGGTCAGTGGCTTCCTTTAAAAAGAGGTTTTTTTTTTAAAAAAAGAATCCACTGATTTGACTTGTATATCATGACTTGATCAAGACATGCTGGGTAATCAATTAAAAGAAGACTCCTCGGTGTTCTCCAGCCTGGACAGGAATTGGTTCAAGTGTGAGTTCAACCGAGCATTGTACAGTGCTGTCCCCTAGAGGTCAAATGTGGATTTCATAATGGCTCCTTACTGAAAAGATGTTGTTCATTCTGTCTCTAGGAGCTGCATATTTTGGGTGTTTTCTTTTTTCTTTTCTTTTTCTTTCTTTTCCCTTCCCCTCCCTCCCTTCCTTCCTGTAACATGAATTTGCTTAAGTTACAGAAAACAAGTTTTTTTGTTTGTTTTTTGTTTAATGAGCGTCCATGCTTTTCCTCATTATAGTATGTTCTCTTTTGTGCTTACTGTTGTATGGGTTCTGTTGAATGAAAACCTTTCTCATTCCTAGGCTGATAAGATGGCTCAATAGTTAGGGACACTGGCTGCTCTTTCAGAAGACCTGAGTTTGTGCCCAGTACCCATATGGCAGCTCCTGACCATCTGTAATTCCAGTTCCGGGGGATCCAGCCCCCTCTTCTGACCTCCTTGGGCACCAGACACACATACATACATACATACATACTGCAGGAAAAACACTCACATACATAAATAAAAATAAATATTTTTTTAGAAAGGAAACCCTCTATATTCCTAAAGAATCTTAAGCTGTTTCTTTGTACAGCTCCTGATAATCCTGGCAACCTCATAATAAGGGGAAATTAACCCTTGCAGAAAAGGTGGCTCACAGGGTGGTCTGTCCTTTCCAGGGCAGTGTCCACTGGGCACCTAGTCTCTATGCTCTTGGGCCCTTCTCATGGGCAGTACAGTGGCACTCGAGGCTTTAGTGACTGAGTTCTCTAAGTTCATTCCTCAGAGCCTGGCACTTGTCAAGGAAATAGAGGCAGGATCATGACCTGAGGCTAGCTTTGGCTAAATAGTATATTTGTGCTATATAGTGAGACACCCTGTCTCAAAATAAACACCAACAACTATATATAAACACCAAAATGGATATTCTGCTCATAAGTACAACACTGAAATGGTAATAGCAAGTAGTTCTTTGTGGAACTTTCCACCACTTTCCTTAGATTCTGCTATCGTTTGCACATTCTCATGTATCTAAAAGATGGATCTGGGAAAATAGAACATACAGATGTTGGTGTTAGAATATGGACTCCATGGAGGAATAGTTTTTGTCACCTTTCTGACCATGTACCAGGAAGCTAAAGTAGATCCATTTCATCTGCCAGGAGGCAGGGTAGCCTCCTGAAGCCTTGATAAATAAAGACTCTTTCTGTTTGTCCTGCTCAGTGCGTTTCCTGTAACAAATCCTTCAAGAAACTCTGGTCCCTTCATGAACATATCAAGATTGTTCACGGATATGCAGAAAAAAAATTTGCCTGTGAGATTTGTGAGAAGAAGTTCTATACCATGGCTCATGTTCGGAAACACATGGTCGGTAAGTCTTGTCTGCCTCTCTACTCTCTGCCTGTGGTAGTCTATTGGGCAGGCTATGTAGAGCCACTGTACTTCGGTCTGTGGTCAGTTTTCACTCATTGAGAATTAGTGCAGTCTGTCTTAACCATCACCAAGTTGGGTCCAGTCCTCACCCCCTCCCCAGACTCTCTTTGGCATTACTGTTAAAGTGTCACACCTTATGCCATCTGTCTCTTCCAGTATGGGTTTTTTGGTGGAATCATTTTGAGTTTAAATGCATTCTGTGTTACAGCACATACAAAAGACATGCCGTTTACATGTGAAACCTGTGGAAAGTCTTTCAAGCGGAGCATGTCACTCAAGGTGCACTCCTTGCAGCATTCCGGAGAGAAACCTTTCAGATGTGAGGTAAAGAACAAGCCACACACAGGCTAGATCCAAGGCTAGTGCAGCAGGGAGAACGGAGTACAAAGTGCAGAGCACAAGCAAAGGCTATGTACCGCTGAAGCTTCAGGTGTGCACCAGGTTTGGAGTTCTCACTGCTAGGAAGAGAAATGTCCTGTTAGCACACATTTGAGTCTTTTAGGTTAACCTGGGAATAATGTGCAGTAACTGACTTTTCTTTTTCAGTGATTCAGGGAAGTTGAATATCAGTCAGTGATAATTACATGAGAAAGTTTCCCTTGTATTCATAACAGCTGCAGGAACAGAAAGTCCAAATAGCTGCCATAAGCAGTTTGTGTTTTGAGTATGAAAATAAACCTATAAGCCAGTGAGGGTGGGCTGGAGTGATGCTCTGTGCTTGGCATCCAGTACGATCCTCTGTGTCCATTGCAGAACTGTGATGAGAGGTTCCAGTACAAGTACCAGCTCCGCTCCCACATGAGCATCCACATTGGACACAAGCAGTTCATGTGCCAGTGGTGTGGCAAGGACTTCAACATGAAGCAGTACTTCGATGAACACATGAAGACACACACTGGTAAGGGTTTCTCGGCAAAGGTACAGAGCTCTTGTTGGTAGTCATCTGTGGCTCTCTGTCTTTAAACCCAAGTCATAAATTTGTGTTGTTTTCCTGTTTTTCTGTGTCTTGAAGTGAAGTCTTGCTGTGCAGCTCAGGCTGGTCTCAGACTCACAACAATCCTCCTGCCTTGATCTACCAGGCTCTGAGGTCAGAGGTGTGCACCACCATGCCTGGTGCAGATATGCTTTGTAAGTGAAAATCTTACCATAAATAAGCCTGAGATATAAGAGTTAATTTATAATACTGAAATTTTCTTTCATAACTATTTTTAAAAGAATTACTAATGTGACTACCTTTTGAGGGTTTTTGTTTTTTGTTTTGTATTTTGTTTTTTAAGACAGACTGTCATACTAGGATTGCAGGTACGTGCCACCATTCCCAATTATAAATGACTTGTTTATTTTGTCTTATTTTTTGGGACAGGGTATCTCTGTAGACCAGGCTGGCCTTGTCTCTGCCTCTGGAGTACTGGGATTAAAGGCAAGGGGTTCCACACCCATCCCTCTCAATATTCTTAGAGTTGATTGGATTTGATTTACCAGAATTCAGTACTGTTCAAGAAATGGCATTAAATGCATTTTAATTCTCTCCGTCTTTGGAAGGATATTGCTCCTTTTTTTTTTTTTTTTTTTTTTTTGAGACAGGGCTTCTCTTTGTAGCTCTGGTTGTCCTGTCTAGACCAGGCTGACCTCAGACTAAGAAATCCACCTGCCTCTGCTTCCTGAGTGCTGTAATCTGTGACTAAAGGCTTGTACCACCACTGCATGGTGATAAGAATCTTATAAATATTTAATTATTCAGATTCCGGAGACCTGGTTAAAATAATAGCTTCTTTTACACTAGCACTGTGCATAGCCGACTTTGATAGTCTACCAACTGAACTTTATCTGCAGCTCCTAAAATTTTATTTTGTGGTTATAGTTATTGCATAAAATTTTATGATTAGTATTGCTTGGTCAATAAGCAAGAAATGTTTCTTCCAAAATAATACAATTCACTTAGGTTTTTCTCTTTCTCATTATCAGAATAACACATATTTAAGGTTTGTCCAGAATGATGGCTCCTAACTTTAATCCCAGCACTTGAGAGGCAGAGGCAGTGGATCTCTGTGAGTTCAAGACCAGCTCACTCTACATAGCGTGCTCTGAAAATTAGTAACTAAATAAAATCTCACCATAGAGAGAGTACCAAGATTTAACTAAATAACATTTTGGCTCTTTTAACCTTTATTACTACTACTACTACTACTACTGTTGTTGTTGTTGTTGTTATTATTATTATTATTGTGGGGGGAGTGTTTCAAGACAGGGTTTCTCTGTATAGCCCTGGCTGTCCTGGAACTTATCTGTAGACCAGTCTAGCCTCAAACTCAGAAATCTGCCTGCCTCTGCCTTCCAAGTGCTGGTATTAAAGGCATGTGTCATCACCACCTTGCTCCTATTTTATTTTATTATTTTAAAGATTTATTTATTATTTTTATTTTATGTGTATGAGTGTTTTGCCTACATATATGTATATGCACTGAATGTGTGCCTGGTGCCCTTGGAGGCCAGAAGAGGGTACTAGATCATCTGGAGCTGAAATTAAGGATGATTGTAAACTGTCATTTGGGTCCTGGGAACTGAACCAGGGTTCTCAGCAAAAAGCAAGTGCTCTTAACCACTCAGTCATCTCTGAAGCCCAGGATTTAATATATTTAAAAATAATTTTTCTAAGGGCTAAGAGTATAGCCAGTGATATAGCATGTGCTTAGCAGGTGCAGACTTAATAACCAGCACCACAAACAGCTTTCAGCTCTTAGCATGGTCTAGGCCAGTACTGTGCCTACAGTGTCCATGCAAATGATAATACAACTAGATCCTTATACTCTATCATGACCTGCTTTTATTTATTTACTTTTAGATTAATTAATTTTATATGTGTGACTATTTTGCTTGCATGTTTATATGTGCACTAAGTGTTATGAGCAGTTTCCCGCCAGCCTGGTCCTACTGCTACGTCAGCCCCAAATAACACACAGAGACTCTGTATTATATATATAGCTGTTGGCCTGTTACTCGAGTGTCTTATTTATTGTCTAGCTCTGTCTTAAATATTAACCCATTTCTATCAATCTAAGTGTTTCCACGTGGTCTTACCAGAGACAGAGTCCGGACCTCTTATCCTCTCACGGCCTACATCTTGATTCCTCTCTAGTACATCTCCCAGAATCCTCCTTGTCTCCTAGTTCCACCTATCTTGCTTTCCTGTTGGCCAACAGTGCTTTATTCATTAACCAGTAAGAGAAACATATTTACAGAATAGCATCTCTCATCACACCAAGTGCATGTCTGATGCCTTTAGAGGTCAGGAGCCGGTATTGAATCCCCTGGAACTTGAGTTCCAAATGGTTGTGAGCCACCATGTGGCACTAGGAATCAAACCCAGCTGTCTGGAAGAGCCATTGCTGCAGCACCCTGAAACATGATTTTTAACCTACTTTATCATTACCATTTCATTATCAATAATATAATTTTAGTGGCAATATAATAGTTCTTCTTGAAAGTTTGCTATGAAAGTAGCCATCTTTTATGTACAGATATGCCAGGCATTATCTGAAGTTTTTTTATACTTACTACTTCATTAGTACAGCCTTTCTAGGGGTCCTCTAAAGTAAAGGATGTTTTCTCTTTATTCAGCTGGATATTTAGGTTGTTTCTGTTTCCGGTATTTCTATTATAAATAACTTTTTAATGAATGACATTGTTAGTATAGCCACAATTATTTACTTAGGGTAAAGCTCTGGGGATGGGTTAACAGGGCAAAGAGACGTAAACATTTCTCACCTGATGGTATGTATTACAAAGATACCTCCCTCATCTGTTCTTACCATGTGTGCATGAAAACCCACTTCTCCAGCTGAAGAGCTCAGAAGCCCTTTCTGCCCTGATAAGTGAGAAATGGTTTCTTGTAGTAATTTATACTTTTAACTACTAAATAAGATTGAATTCTTTTCATTTGTTTATCAAATAGTAGTATCTCTTCTGAATTGTGCCTTTTGTGTTCCTCTTTCTTACTATTGATGTTGACAGTAGGTCTTGACATGTTACATATACTAGACTTTGTTTAAACATCAATATTGAAATACCTCCCATCCTGTCTTTATCTGCCTTTCAGTATTGTTTGTAATACTAAAGCTGGGAAAACAACTGGATTGTGGGTCTGAACAAACCTCACTAGTAGAATTGTTCGATGACATTAAATAATAATGACTGTAGGGCCTGAGAGAGTGCAGGATAGGAAAAGAGAGAAAGGCTGGGGGAAATGACATGTCTGTTTAGGTGGGAATCACACCCATGGTAGGAACTGGCATTAATTTATTTCTTTGCAGTTAAAATAAGGCAGATCTTAGCTAGGGAAGCTGGCCACTATAGGGCAAGGTTCCTAGTACAATCTAGGCTCAGGGTAAGATCAAAGCAGAATGTTTGGTGATTGTTTTCATACCACATGCATAAGGACACAAGGATGAATGAAGACCTGGTCCCTACCCTCCAGGAATGGTCCGTGGAATAACAACAGTGATGATGACAGGAACGAAGGCTGTAGCATCCATCTGTGCTGGATGCTACTCTGAGCACCAGCTTGTGTCTGTTCCATAGTGACGACTTTGGGGCTGTTAATTTTTATTTTCCAAATGAAGAAAGTGAGGTTAAAGAGTAAAATAATTTGTTCAAGACAACCTTTGCTCTCAACTGGACACTCGATGATTCTGTTATTATTTTAATGTAGCAAGTAATAAAACTGGGTGTATTGGACATTAAAAAAACGTGGGAAGCAGCCAGGTGGTGGTGTGGTGGCCATGTCTTTAATCCCAACACTCGGGAGGCAGAGAGCCAGGCGGATCTCTGTGAGTTCAAGGCCAGCCTGGTCTACAAAGCTATACAGAAGAACCCTGCCTCAAAAAAAAAAAAAAAAAAAAGTGTCATCATGGGGTCCAGTTCTTGGACTCTAGGATTTGTTCACTGTAATCAGCATCTCAAGATCAGAGGTTCTCAGATATGCTACCTGGTCCTGATGATGTCAAATTGCTTGTTTATTATTTATGATTGGCAAGTAGTTTGGAAGGCTTATTATTATCATCATCATCGTCATCATCACATACATATAGATGTTTTGCCTGAATGTATATCTGTGTATCATGCTTGCCTGGTAAAGAGACTAAATGAGAATGTTGAATCCCCTGGGACTAGAGTTACAGATGGCTGTGAGCCACCATGCTGGTGCTGAGAATTGAACCCAGGTCCTCTGGACCCATAGTCAGTGGTCTTAACCATTGTGTTATCTCTCAGCCCGGGTCTTTTTTGTTTGTTTGTTTCTGTCCTAGGGATTGAACTTTAGGGTCTCAACATGTGCTAGTCAAGTTCTCTTCTGCAGAGCTACATCTCCAACCCAGGCCAGAACTGTTAATGCCTTTTGGTCAACATTGTTTGCCTAAAATAAACTCTATCTTAGAAGCTGAATTATGAGAAGATTGCCAGGGATAGAGAATTAGCAAAAGAAGGTAATGTAATGATCTAAACGGTGATCCACATACTTCATTGAATCCAGGTTGCCGTCAGTTGTAAAATTAATTTATATGCTGCAGAGGAAATGTTATAGATTATACAGTGGTATGCCGTTGGATATAAGATAAATGATAGTTTCAGAGGCATTAAAATGTGGGAAAATGGGGCTGGAGAGATGGCTCAGAGGTTAAGAACACTGTTCTTTCAGAGGTCCTAAGTTCAATTCCCAGCACCCACATGGTGGGTGGCTCACAGCCGTCTGTAACTCTCGTCCCAGGGGACTCAACACCCTCATTTGCTCTCTTTACCAGATCACTCTCCGCTTTGCACAGTACAAGTTCTTTTCTGTCTTCCCTGAAGATTGTTTTTCATAAATAATGCCCCTCTTTAGGCTACGTACAGCAGCACTTCCTTCAGCTGGGTCAGCCTTGTCCACTCGGCAGATCTCTAGATAAGTTATGTATATGCTTTCCCAGTTAGGTTGGTGAATTTAGCTCTTCCCCTCAGCTACATCTCCCAGTCTTCTTTAAAGTAGAACATGGTGCAGTGGTTGACTTCAAATTTTACCTTTTTTTTAAAATTAAGAGTAACCTTAACACCAACAATTAAGCACAATTAAGCAAATAAATAATGAGTCAGAAGTGGGAGGGGTAATGGGTTTATGTCAAGTGAAGGCATGGAACAAAAATGTGCAAATTTTTGCTAGTATATTAAGAAGTAAAAGATTGGCCAGGTGCTGATATCAACATACCTTTAATCCTAGCACTTGGGAGGCAGAGGCAGGTGATTCTCTGTGAGTTCAAGGCCAACCTGGTCTACAAAATGAGTTCCATGACAGCCAAGGCTACACAGAGAAGCCCTGTCTCAGAAGAAAAAAAAAAGAAAAAAATTTTAATGCAGTAAGATTTTCATTTGAATCATGAATTTTTAATGAGCCCTAATTCCTTTGGAGCTTTCTATGGCAAGTCACAATACCCAGGGGATTATTGTGACTGGAAATTATTAAAGAGATCTAGAAAGTTAAACATGTTTATTGAGAACCTTCCGTCTGTTCTACTTGTGAGTGGTGTGTGTGTGTTGGTGTGTGTGTGTGTGTGCACATGTGCGTGTGCTGAGTCAGTTGGAGAGGGTATGTTTTCACTGGACTAGCTGATCCAATGTGGCTGCCGTACATGAGGAGCAAGGACTTTGAGATCAAGGAGGGGAGGTCAGGGCTGAAGAGGGTAGCAAAAGCTGTGTTTTAAAGTTTTACTAGGGAACAGTCTTGTTTCCCAGAGGATTGCCATGAGTTTAAGGCCAGCCCAGACTACAGAGTAATTACTAGGCTAGCCAGGGCTACATAGCAAAATCTTGTCTTTAAAGATAATAAATAAACATTTTATTGAATAAGTCATGTTTATTTCAGCAAAACAAATACAGACAAGTATTTAAATAAGAATGGGAGCTGGAGAGATGGATGGCCCAGTGTTGAAGAGCACTTGATGCTCTTGTAGACATCATGGGTTCAGTTTCCCACAGCCATCTGTAACTCCAGTGTAGAAGATCTCAAACCCTCTTCCACAAATGCGGAACATACATGCAGGCAAAACACTTAGATACACCTGGCATTGGTGGCGCATGCCTTTAGTCCCAGCATTCGAGAGGCAGAGGCAGGCAGATCTCTGTGAATTCAAGGTCAGCCTGATCTACAGAGCAAGTTCCAGGACAGGCTCCAAAGCTACACAGAGAAACCCTGTCTTGAAAAACAAAAACAAACAAACAAACAAAAAACCCACTTAGATACATAATATATGTGTGTGTGGTGTGTGTCTATGTATTTTTTTTTTTTTAATAAGGCTGGGTTTGGTGGTACATGCCTTGATAATCTCAGCACTTAGAAATCAGAGGCAGCTGAATCACTGTGAGTTTGAGGTCAGCCTTATCTACATATGGAGTTGTGGGCCAGCCAGAACTACATGAAAACAAAACAACAATAACAATTAAAAAAAAAAAAAAAACCACACACACAAGAATGAGCCATCTGTAATTTTGTTACCTAGAAGTCCTAGAAGTAATCTTGGCAACACAATATATTCCTTTTGCTATCTTTCCTGTACTTATTTTACATGAAAGAGATTAATGCTGTGCAATATCTTTGTAAGTTGCTTGTTTTACTTTATTGACTATAGATACCTTTACATGTATTTCATGTTAATAATTATATTTCTGTACTATATACATTATTTCCAATGGCTTTTCTCTCAGGTTGTTATGACCAAAACCACTTAGCATATAGTTTGAAGAATTTGTTTGTTTGACTGACTAATTGATCACTTACATGTATTTGGGGGTGGGGATGAACTTGTGGCATGGAACAGCTTTTGAGGTCAATTCTCTCCTACCATGGGGATCAAACTTCAGTTCTCAGGCATGGCAGCAAGTCCTTTACCCACTGAACCATCTCTCTGACCATATTTGAAGATTTTAAGATGATTAAGGGGAAATTAAGCATGGTGACACAAGCCTGTGATACCAGCACTTGGGAGATGAGGTGTGAGAATTGGAAGTTCAAGGTCATCCTTGACTACATAGGAAATATAAGGTCCCCTTTTAGGACATAGGAGACCCTGTTCTACAGGAATGGGGAAAATGATTGGAGGAGCCAGGTACTTGTGCTTCATACCTCTATCCCAGAACTCTGGAAGCTGAAGCAAGAGAGTTCCGAGCCAGCCTGAGATACATAATGAAACCCTGTCTCAGGGAGAAAAAAAAAAAAAGAGAGGAAGGAAGGATAGATGTAAAGAGATTTAAAAGAAGCCAATCTAGGCCAGTCACTCAAGCAGAAAGATGAGTGTGAGTCACAGGGAAGGCTCTTTAACAAAGGGAAGCACCTGATTCTTTAGTGGGTAGGGTCTTTAATGGGTAGGGTGGAGTTCTGGCTTCAGTGGAAGGAGGCAATAAGAGATCCAGCTTTTTACTAGTGCAGGTGAAGAGGTATTTGCTCCTGATTATGGGAAGGAGTTACAGAAAAAAAAAAAAAAAACAGTAAGAGAATGCATTCTTCCATGCATGTAGAGATACACCCATGGGGTATGAAGTGTTGTGGCTTCTGTGTCAGCAGCACAGATTCTGGGAGCTAGACTTAAGTGTTCCTAACTTGGTGCCTAACAGATCCCCTTGGGCAAGATATCTTGCAGACAGTAGGGATAGTACTACCTCATACAGTTGCTGTGAGCTGTACCGATCGGAGTAGCGACTGGTCCCTGGAATAGGACTCAGCACACAGTAGAGTGAGCACATGTTGCATGGAAGGCGGGTGGTGGCTGAAGTGGCAGTGGCCTGTCACAGCAGTTAGTGACTCACACTCACACAGTGAGTCACAGGGACAAGGTGTCTATAGGCCACACCTGCAGTATCCACATCTGCAGAATCCACACCTGCAGTATCCACACCTGCAGAATCCACACCTGCAGAAGCCACACCTCCAGTATCCACACCTGCAGAATCCACACCTGCAGTAGCCACACCTGCAATATCCCCCACTGCATCTGATTTTCCTCCTCTAGCATGATAGATATAAATTGTATCTGTGCCTATTAAGTCTCAGTTTGGGAAACAAAATGCTGAGGGGAAAGCCTGAGTGACAGGGACACATCTTTATACTCGGAACATCAACCCTGTTTGTCTGTGCTCATCTCAGGAGAGAAACCTTTTATCTGTGAAATCTGCGGCAAAAGCTTCACCAGTCGACCCAACATGAAGAGGCACCGCCGAACTCACACAGGCGAGAAGCCTTACCCCTGTGATGTGTGCGGCCAGCGGTTCCGCTTCTCCAACATGCTGAAGGCTCACAAGGAGAAGTGCTTCCGAGTGACCAGCCCAGTGAACGTGCCACCAGCTGTCCAGATCCCTCTGGCCTCAGCACCTGCCGCCCCCGCTCCTGCTCCAGCTGTGGCCAACACTCCCACGAGCCCAGCCCCTGCAGTCAGTATGAACCCCGTGGGTGGCGCGCTTCCCACAAGGCCCGTCCCGCACCCTTTCTCGCACCTGCACATCCACACACATCCTCACCATGCGCACCACCTTCCCATCCCACCCGTGCCTCACCTGCCCCCACCTCCAGCCCTCTTCAAGAGTGAGCCCCTAAACCACAGAGGCCAGAGTGATGACAACTTCCTGAGGCACCTGGCAGAGAAGAACAGCGCTGCCCAGGCTCAGCATCATTAGTGCCAGCCGGAGTGACATCCCCACGGTGAGTTGGCAGAGGGGGTGCATCCGTGCCTCTCTGCAGTCTCCTTGTCACCACCGCCTCCTTCAGGCCCTTTGCCGTTGTTCTGGCCTGGCCGACCATCAGACTGACCGGAGACAGTGAGTGGGCAAGAAGACTGCCCTCGAAACCAGGGGAAGCACCAAACTAAAGCCCAATTTGCTTGCATTTTCTGATGACTTTTATAAATTTCAGATACTCAGACTGTGGGATTTTATAATTTCATATCAGCGGATGAGGTATGCTTGCTTTCATATCCTGGTCTTCTCCTCAAAGAGGGGACAGGCCCGGTTTCCTTTATACTAATCGGGAAGGCTGTGAGATTAATCCGGAGCATTAACTGTTATCACTGTGTATTGTAATGAATTCTTTTCAGCTTTTGGTGCTGGCTGCGGTCGAGCTGGCCACGTTTCACACAATATCAAGCATTATAGAGAAGATGGGAATTTTCTTCTTTGTGTAGCTCTTTTAACACACTCTTTATTTTACTACAGAAATTATTTTAGAGTTTTTGTATAGACTTTAGTAGTCTGTTTCTAAAATGAAATGTATTTCAATAAGCTGTGTAATTTTTTCAGTGTAGCTAAACCCATGTTGTAAAATAGATAAATTTTTTATAATCATCAAAATGTGATTCTTAAAGATGCATATAACTTCTATTTCAAATTTATTCTTACATCCCTACAACTCAAAGGTGCTTCTGAGACTGGGTGAGGGTCACCAGACCAGGTTACTACAAAAGCAAGATCCATAAGTACTTAGTAACTTGAAAACCTTTGCTGGGCATTCGGTCCATCAGGCTCACTGACATGCTCCTCTGTGGAGTCGGTGAGGTGGTGCGCTGGAAGAGGGTCCCCCAAAGCTTGCCTGGTTTGAAAATGTGAGTAACATTGTGAATAGCTTCAGAAGGAAGTGACAGAGGTTCCCTTTGATCACACCTGTCTCTCACTTCTCTTAGGAACTGTGTCATGCTCAGCTGACTCAGAGATAAATTGGAATCTCTTATTTTGAGGTTGCTGTGTTTTCCAAGAGTTGTTAGGAGAAGCTAAAATGGCGAACTGAAATCACAAACGTAGTTGCTGATAGTGGCTGAGAAATGTGGGTGAGAAGACAAATTGGCTTTTTACGTTTTAAAATGTGTGCATTCTCTAAAGTGTAGGTGTCCAGAACTGACTGCATCTGCCATTTAAACTGTAGTGAGAGGGAACCCCCAAGTACTGCTGGCCATCTTTTGCAGATAGGTGTGGTAGCAGCATCCTAGATGAGGAAGGAGCCACACCCCTGCCTCTGCCTCTGGGCAACTCACTCGGTCAAGATTTGGGGAACTTCTGGAGTATTGCCTCCCCGGAATGTGTTATACGGAAGGTTAAAGAGAAGGGGCTGACATAGTGGTTTCAGTTAGCTGGCAAGTATGGGCAGCAGATCTACACATTTTATACTTCTTTACCTTAGGCTGAGTTCCTCTTCTCTCCTTTTTACAAAATCTCAGAATTCCCTCATCTCTTTTTCCCCAGGCTCTTAAATCAGAATCTTAGCTGTTATTTATTTACCTTTGGTATTAAATGTGCAGATATGTGTCATGTACTTTTTTCTAGCCACTTAACTCTGCAGTAGGGACACATGGACTCTGGATTGAGGTTAGGTTCCTGCTTTTTAAGTATCACACTCTACATTAGTTTTTTGGTTTAGTATTTCTAGATTTACTCCAGTTTTACCATTGTCTTCTGTCATTCGTAGGAAAAATTGTGTGCTGAGACAGAAAAGTATCTCAGGACACATACTTCCTCCAGTTCAAGGTATAAATTTGAATTAATGGTAGTTGTAATATTTGCATACATTCTTGCAGCCCCCATATGCCCAAGCCAAATAAGGAACCCAGTTCCTTGTTTCTGACTGCTGTGGCTTTAGAGGCTCTCTATTCACCTCCACCCCTGCCTTTGCATCCCACTGGCAGTCTGCAAATCTACACTTTATGCAGACATACCAATATTTCATGGTTGAACCTATAATATTAAAATATTTTTGTCAAAAAGGTATAAACTGTAGCTTAGTTAATTGGTTATATCTTATTTTGTACTAATAATTTTACAATATTGGGCAGAGATTCTGAATTCTAGACTTAAGGATGTTGAATCAACCATTTTGTGGTTATACTACGAATACCTCCTGAAAAATTCAGGTAGTCAGTTCTGATTTTTTTATTCAAATAACTATAGCCATAAGAAACTGTCTGTTACATAGAGAATCCAGTAGTAGCTCAATAACCACCACTATCCTTAACAGAAGCAGGAAAAAAGGAATTTTTAAAAATGAATTAGCACTGTTGCACTGTGTAATTCTTACTGAAATATATTGTGGAACAATCTAGAAATGCCATTTTTTTCCTGGATATCTTCCCTACTTGGAATTTGTAGGAACCCTGCTCTAAAAAAGTGACTCTCCTCAGTGTCACGTGTGAATAATGATCATATGCATAACGAACCCACACAGAGACACTTCTTAGTGCAGGGCCACAGGGTTGAGCCTTAAACGTGCGGGTGCATTGGCTTAACGTGCTCAAGACTCAACTCAGGGTTGAAATGTGCTGTGCTTGAGGTCCACTACTAAGATAAAAGTTGTGTTGTGTGGTGTGTTCTCTCACGTGTACTCAGTACCCCACGAGGTTCTGCAGAACTTGTCCAGTTCTTGTTATCTGTTATAAAAAAAAAAAAAAAAAAAAAAAAAAGCCGGGGGAGTTTAAGTTCTAGGTCCAGATCTATACTTTGGTCTTGTAGAGACATAGGCCACATTTCAGAATAACAGATATTAAAATGAGGCTTTCTTGTTGTCATTTTGTACTATCTTCAAAGTCCTATATCATCACAAGGATTCCTTTATTTTCAAATGGTTTTTATTGTTGCAAGATTATTTACTTATATGTAGACCAGACTAGCGTCAAACTCACAGCCTGTGGAGTGAACCACAACAGCAAATACCCAACATCTTTTAGTTGTCTTTTTTTTTTTTTTTTTTTTTCTTTCTTTCTTTTTGAGAAATGGTCTCACTAAATACCTGAGCTGGCCTTGAGCTCCCTATGTGGATCATGGCAGCCTCAGACCAGTGACTCCCCTCAGCCTCCCAAATGCTGGGATTACGGATGCCTACTTCATCCTGCCTGGCTTCCACAAGGATGCTTTTGAGTTGGCATTACATTTTTAGAGGTTGGGTTGTGCATCTTTTGTCCTTTTCTCATAGATTTATTATTTGGATACAAACTTTTTTAGCCTAATGAAAGGCTGCTGCTCTCAAATTGAATCAGGTAGGCTCATACTGGGTTAGATTTTAAAACTGAATGAAAAGAAGATGAACCATTTAAAGGCATGTGGCTTCATTTTTCTATGTATTATTTTTTTTAACTTGATTCTTATTTTTAGCAAATGGGGAAGTCTCCACATAAAACTTTAATAAAGTTCAAAGAAACCTTTGAATATCATTTCCATGTACTGTCTTAGTAACCTTCTGACCAGTCCTTCAGCATGGGCCCTTTCTGGAGTTGCCTTGTCTAAGAACTTTGTCTGCTGAAATTGTCTTTCTGAGCTTGACCCCCTCCTGCCACTACTAACCAGAGGCAAACTCTCTTTAAAGCTTTGAATTTTTAACTTCTTGAGTTTTTTTCAGTTTTTATTATTGTTGAATGGATATGTGTTTAGTTTTATTTTTATCTGACTGGAAATCGTAAGACTATAAAGTAGAGAACTCCATTGCAGGGTGAGAGTGAGTGAGTGAGTGAGTGAGTGAGTGAGTGAGTAATAAATCCACATACATACACATATATATGGTATATATGTGTGCAAACATTTATATGTACATATATGTACATGCAGATTTTGGTTAGGAAAACACACTGTGGTAGGTGAGTTTTTGTGTTAAAGAGAAAAACTAAAACTTGCATTAAAAGAACCTGTTTTAGTTAAAGGAACCCTCTGTTTAAGCTACTGTATGGAAATGCCACTTTTGTTACTTTGAATGGTCCCCATGATAGGGATTTTGATGCTGTTCCAAACTGTACGTGGAACACTTCATGGAAGGAGAGTATGTTAGATCTAACCATTTTATCAACTTAAAAAAAAAAAAATCAGCTGTGATTCTTAAACCTCTAAGCTGAGCAAGGAATTATCAGGTTTTAAGTTGTTTTCTTAAACTAAGTTAGAAAATTTCTCCAAAGTTCTGTCTCTCCATCCTTTTTCCTCTGGTCATTAGCCATTAGGAATAGTGGCATTGTTATGCAATAACAACTCACTAGCTAGTCTGCTTCTGTCATCTGTAGCATTCATGAGAAGTGATGCTGACCTTCCAACCCTGGAACTACCTCGATAAAGCAACCCAGAGATCCTCGCATACACTTTCTATGGAAGCCATAAATGCTGTCAATATGTCCACCTTCGCAGTCTATACTTTTATACTTGATAGACTTTTTTTTTATAGAATTATAATCAGACCTTTTCATCTTGGACAAAAGCTTTTTCAGGACTCCAAGGAAAATCAAATTCCCTAAATGTCCCAACTTTGAAGCTCTAGCTTCAGTAAATTTGTTTAAAGAACTAGATGCCATGTCATTCAAAAACAAAACATATGTTTAAATCAAAACTACTTTGCAGACCTACATACCTACATATTCTGAAAAAAAAAAAAAAAATTCCTTTTTCTTGTTCCCTAAGTCAAGGCCGTGTTGTGTGATAAAGTGGGTCTTCCCACCCCATTAACTCAGTGTTCCTGGTTGATTCTTGCATAGTGACAGTTTTCCTAGAGTTGTTTCTATTCCTGTAGCACAGGCGTGAGTAGTACCTATTTGTCTGATTGATCGATCCCTCTGCTGTTGTGTGCAGCTTTAGTCTCCATCACTCTGCTCTCGAGTGCCTTCAAAAAGCCCATGTCCTGGAACCTTCTTTCCCTGGTCTAGATCCTACCTCTGATTGTTTCATTCTCCATGAGTGTTGGAATTCACTCCTATTCCAAAGGGCTTAACTACAAACTTGCTGAAACCTGGCAGAGGATTGTAAACACAGTTGTGCTCTCTTCCCCCATGTCACTGCTGAGTTACCCTTGTAGCTCCTCTTTATATCTTACTGCCCGAGTACGACACTTCTAGTTCTTGTCCTTTGCCCTCTTTCTATCCTCTCACTACACGCAGGCTGGGCGTCAGCCAGTGTGTTCCTGGGCCATCTTTTTCTCATCTGCAGTCTTCCTGGATGCCTAACCTCTGGAATTAAAGGAATACTGAATGCTGCTGTTGCTACACATTCTCTCTCTCATAAATGTTACAGGGTTCCTCCTGTGATCTTAGTTTAGTCATAGGAATTTTAAAGTGCCCGGGGTTTAACAAGAGTCCTTTATTGATTTTGTTTTGTTTTGTTTGGATCGGCTGCTCATCCAGCCACCTGTCCCCTCGCAAACCCCAGTTTATTTGCTTTTCTAGTTGTCCTCTTATAAGTCATTTAAAAAGTGTAATTGGTGTATAATATATGAAAGATGTAATAAAAAGGAAGCTGAAGTGTGTTCTGTGTGTGGTAATGTGCACTTCATTGATAAAAATTACTTTAGTAACTGGCTGGTCTTTCACATCCCAGATTAAACCTTGTGCTAGGTGATGTGATGGTTTGATTGTCCCCTCCTAAAGTGGAAGTAGATGAACTCTCAGTGACAGAATTGGATTTTTTTGGGGGGGGGTAGGTAAATAAACACTAATGAATATTTTGATCTTAATCAAAATCGTTGCTTTCTGACTTAAAATCTCTTGCTTCTTTCCTGAAAATTATTAATGCTGAGGCATCCAGGAGTAGCTGCATGGAGTAGGGATCCCAAAAGGCAGCTGTTGATAAATTTTTAATACTTTTTGTCTGGAAGCAGGATGTTAATTGGTGGGACAGTACCAAATTGTGAGAATGGGTTTAATAATACAGAAGACATTTGAATGCTTCACTGATGTTTAGAATGAATGCAAGCTGTAAGAGATAGGTAGACTCTGTGCTATGTAAATCATTGACCTATCACTGATCTAGACAGTCACCCGTTAAGAACTGGATGTCTACAAGTACCCAGTTTGACATTGAGATAGTGAAAAGCCATGCTTAGCATCACTGGGAGGAACTGCATTCTTTGAAAAGGATGGCTGCTTGTTTTGTGTGTTTGTTTATTAAGGGTATCTTTGGTCAGGTATCAAAGGATGCTCTTGCCCCTCCAGGTGTCCTGTCGCTTAACTTCAGATTACCTTCGTCCTATTTGAGCGTCTCTGGTGAGGTCAGGAATGTGCCAGATTACTTGAAAATGATTTTATAGGAAATGGAGATGTTCAAAAAGGTCTGGAAGCTGGGTTCTGCACAAAGTCAAAAGGAAGTCAGATGCTTGTGTTGGCTGGTTTTAATGGAGTTAAGAAAAGGGAGCGGCTTGTTTCTGCATCTCTGGCTCCCCTGAATGCACACAGCCTCTCCAGTCTGCCTTACAAGTGAAGGGGCCATGGAGCCAGAAACAGGATCTCGCTCACACCCTGCATAGGATCTGAGGCTGCTTGGCAGCATTGGAAGGTGTCTTTCCAATCTTTATAGATTACTCACTTGAGTTAAGTTGAAAAGAAAGAAACAGTGTAGTATGATGTGTGCTTACTTCTCAAGTTATATTGTCATATATGTGGCCTCAGAAAATCAAATGAATTATCTTCCACAAATTTGAATATGAGTATTTTTTTCATTTCTTAAGCCGATTCTATTCCATCTGTTGCAGTACTTGTTTTAACCATAAGGGGGTGGTAAAGTACTTTCTTCTCAACTTTTCTGTCTCTTGGGGTATTCCTTGGCTCACTGATTGGATTTGACTAAAGCATTTTCAAGGATTACTAACTCCATTAGTTGCTCAGGCCTGGTGATGGAAGCAGACATTCCTGGGTGTGAGGTCCCATGTGGGTCAGACAGCGCAGTCATCCAGCTTTTGTTAATATTGGTGACATGAGACTGAAAGCTAGGTCCTCATCAGGAAGGAGACTATGTTTACTAAATGCAGAGCTGAAAGGTGACCCTCTTCCCTGTCTCCTCCCTGCGCCATCTTATCTGTGACGACTGTGGGGACCTCTAGAGGGTGTGTAAGCACATGTGTTCTCCCTTTGTCTGCTCCAAGTCGGTGTCTGCAGGCACCCCCCCCTACCCTCCCACCCCCGTTAGGACAAAATTTTGGTCCAGCCCTGTCCGCTAGTTCCTTGTCTTTGGGCCCCTGGTCCTTATCAGCTCCCTGGGAATTTTGACTGTGCTCATTGTGCGTCTTCAGATGAGTAGTTGGGTATTCCCTAGAGGAGACACCAGCCTGTGGACATTTACCCTGTAGGGTCAGGAAGCACTGCAAAAGGGTATCCCTTACTGATTTTTTCCTGGTCCCTTTTCCCCAGCAAGACCCAAGAACCTGATCAGTGCCAGATGCATAGAGTTGGGGCTCCCTGTCATCTCAGCACTACACAGAAGCAGAGCAGAAGCTGTGGCCAGGTTGGGTAGCAGGGCCTTCCCCATCGTGCTGAGGTCACTTGTACTTTCTCATTCTTAACAGAAGTCCAGTTTGCTTGTCAGGAATCCTTATTCTAGGTTTACGAAGCTTGCTGTTGAATGTTTTTCCAAAGGAGTGTGAGAAGAGAGAAGCTGCTTGGGTCCAGTCCTGCCTGCAAGGTCAAAAGGGTCAAAAGGGTGACTGTCTGGAATGAGGCAGCCAAGTGTCCCCCTCTTGTTGAAAGTCAAGACAGGTTGGGACTCAGTGAGGGAAGGTGTCTGTCATGCTGTAAAGAAGCCTTCAGGGGGCAAGTGGTGACAGTGGGTAGGACAGGATCTCTTGAGACGGGAAGGGTGGGAGAGGAGGGCTACTTGGCCCAGGGAGCTGCGTGGTGGGCTCTGAACTGGCCCACAGTTGCCAGCTCCCCTGAGTCATCTTTTACCCTAGCATCCTGTCAGATCTCCTGGTGTGATCATTTTCTTCTTGTGTTAAGTATACCGATATTATTTTTTTTTTTAGCAATTGAAATGCACTTTTTTATTTCAACTCAATCATGATTTTAAGTATAAAAATTTATAGATTGCTAAAACTACTTTTTTTGTGTATTTTTAACCACTCAATGTAGCATTGTATATTTTATTCTTATTAAGACTCTGGTACAAGGTGTGCCATTTAATGAATTTTTTTTTCCCAACATGCTGGGCCTTTGGATGTATACGGTAACCAACTTCATGCTAATGTTCAAAGTAAAAAAAGAAGAAAAAGTAGCCATATTCCTATGTGTCTTTCTTCATTTCTTCCTTAAGCTGAGATGACATTTTAGGGTCCAGTCTCTTGGTCAATGATTGTTCCTTTTCTGTAAAATAATCATGCAAGCCACATCTGGTTTATTGGTTGGTCTATCCCAAGCCCCAAACCCTGCCTGATCTTTTGTGAGTGGCGTACTTCCTGTCCCCTGCCTACCCAGTCCTGGTGACTGAATCTTGTGCACATTAGGTCAGCTGTACGGCTGCTACCTCCCCGGCCCTATAGTCTCACTTTGTGCTTTGACACAGGGTCTCACTAAGTTGCCTGGGCTAGCCCTGAACTCACTCCAGAACTCAGGCAGGCCTTTAGCTTGCTGTCCTCCTGTCTCAGCCTCTTGAGTATCTGGGATCACAGCTGGCCACCAGGGCCAGCTGAGTGACATGCTTCCAAGGCTGCCTACCACAGTTAAGCGGCTATCAGCTCTGAAGTACTGCCTCCTTGGTGTTCCTCGGCTGCGGTAGGTAACACTGCAGAATTTCTGAGAGGGGTATTTGGGGAAAGGATAAGGACTGGGTATAGCCCAGCTAGAAGAGTAAACAAGGGTGCAAACAGCTTATCAAGCATAGTCAGTCAATGGGTAGTAGCAATTGGAAACTCAGTACTGGATGAGGCTCCTTCCCTGGTCCCTACCTGGTTCAGTCCCTCAGTGAGTAACGCCACACATGTCTGTTGAGTGCTTGATGCTGATCAAGTTCAGGGCCCAGCGAGTCGGCAGTGGGCAAGGCAGGGAGTCCTCACTCTCATGCAGCATGCTTTCCAGCGGAGAAAACCTGAACCTGGAGCCAAGGCGGGAGGCTGAGGCAAGAGGATCACAAATTCAGAGGCTGCCTGGGAAACTTAGTGAGAGCCTGTGTTAAACTAAAACACAAGAGGGTGATCAGTGTATTTACCTAGCACGAGTAAGGTCCTGGGTTCTATGCTCAGCACTGGGGGAGGGGAGTGAATGAATGAGTGAATATATATATTTGAAATTATGTAATGCAGTATCAGGTGATCTGGGTCTCTGTAACTTGAAGCTTGCCCTCTGAGATAGGGCAGTGCCAACTGGAAGATAAGCCAGCTCTGTCACAAGCCTTCCTAGCTCACATCCACCCTGTTTGTTCCTTTTTACGGGGTTCCAATTAGGGACTTCAGTGTCTAGGAAGGAAACCTTATTGTTCACATTTCCCTCTGTTTGAAACCTCTTAGAATGGATCAGAGCTGAAGAGATCACAGAGTTGCCAATTTTTTTTTTTATTCTCTTCTTTTTTTTTTTTTTTAAGATTTGTTTGTGTGTGTGTGTGTGTGTGTGTGTGTGTGTGTGTGTGTGTGTGTAGGTGCCCTAGGAGGCCAGAAAGAGGATGTCAGTTCCCGAAAGCTGGACTGCCTCTGCCTCCTAATTGCTAGGATTAAAGGGTACACCACTATGCTCAGCTGGTTTTGTTTTTGAGATAGATTTCTGTAGTCCCGGTTGTGTACTACTTCCTATGTTGTTTGAGGGTAACATTGAACTCGTGTTCATCCTGCTTCCAGCTCCCAAGTGCTAGGATTGTATGTGTGTGCCACCAAGCCCAGCCACACATTTTTATTAGTACATACAGTAGCTACCTCTACCCCAGTACGCATTATATCAGTGGCTTTTAGACTTTGACCACAACTTTAGTAAGAGACCTGTTTACAGCCAGGTGGTGATGGTGTACACCTTTAATCCCAGCACTTGGGAGACAGAGATAGGTGAGTCTCTGAATTCAAGGCCAGCCTGGTCTACAGACCAAGTTCCAGGGCAGCCAGGGATACACAGAGAAACCCTGTCTTGAAAAGTGCGTGCGTGCGTGCGTGCGTGCGTGCGTGCGTGCGTGCGTGCGTGCGTGCGTGTGTGTGTGTGTGTGTGTGTGTGTGTGTGTGTGTGTGTCCAGGCAGTGTTGGTGCATGCCTTTAGTCCCAGCCCTTAAGAAGCAGAGACAGGTGGATTTCTGTGAGTTCGAGGCCAGCCTGGTCTACAAGAGCTAGTTCTAGGACAGGCTCCAAAGCCACAGAGAAACCATCTCCAAAAAAAAATAGTGTGTGTGTGTGTACATATATATTAATATTTTCCTATCTAACACACATGTAAATGTTATATAAGTGAATATAAAAAGGTCAAGAAAGATAGCTTGTATATACTGTGCTTTTATTCACTCATTTGAGACAGTTTCACTATGCACCTCTGGCTGATCTCGAGCTTACCATGTAGTTCAGGCTGGCCT